AAACTGCAAACTACATTTATAATCTAATTTATTACATCCGTGCTGGATCGAAAAATCTTTCAGAACTTTCCATTTTCAGACATATTAAGTACAATATCAATTGTAACATTAACGAAAAAAGTAACTGACTACAATAAAAAACGTCATAATTAAATCTCGTTAAAGTAATAAAATAAAATTAAACTCTGAATCAATAAAAATTTTGAGAAAAAACTCTATTATTATAAGGTTGCAATCGCATATTATAACAGAGAGATTCGATTGATCGAATTCGAAACCATTTGAAAAATATTTTTGAATCAAATATAATTAGTCAAAGTCAGTTTAATTTTTTAACCAAAAGTGGTTGATAGTTGCCACTAATATGATAATAAATTATATATTTTTGGTTATTTTAATATCAAGTAAAAATGTGGTAGCTATAGATTTAGATATAAGTGTAGTTCTTGAGTTCACTGGTAACACAGATTTAAGATGCCAAGCAGAAATAAATGGAACAAAAATAATTGGAATTTCAAGGAATTTCCTACATGACTGGAAAAAACAATATTGCGCATTTTTAGGAATCCCATATGCAAAACCTCCTATAGGAGACTTACGTTTTGAAGTATGTTCATAAATGAATCATTTATTTTTGACAAGAATATATAAGAGTTTGTAATTGTACGTTTTAGCCGCCAGTAAGAAATATTATTGACTCTACATATAATGAAACTATTGAAGCTAATGGATTAAAAGATATGTGCGTCCAAAAGGGAAGGTTTGTTGGGTCATGAAAAAACAATAGCAGGTATGTTGTTATCATGCTTTATATAATAAATCATTAATATATTTAATCTATATTATTTATTAATGAATATCGTTCAATAATTGATAAGAAAATCATAACTGCTCTTCTTATCATGATTGATTTTTTTTATCATAACTTCTCCTATTTTATGATACATTGATGGTTGACAATCTGCATATAAAGTATCAATACAAAAGTGAATTTTAACTTATTGGTAAAAATTAACGTATGTTTTATACTATAGCAAAATTATTTTTTTTGTTCCAATATTTTCATGATTTCTTTCAATTTTTTATATTAGGTAAAGAGGACTGCTTGTATTTGAATATTTACACACCAATGCTAAATAGTAGTCTTAACAATAATAATAAAACGTATCCGGTAATGTTTTGGATTCATGGAGGTTCATTTCATTCAGGATCTGGAACTTATAATTTATATGGTCCTGATTATCTAGTTCACGAGGATGTAATTTTAGTTACATTCAATTATAGATTGGGAGTGTTTGGATTTTTATCAGCGCCAGAATGGAAAATTTATGGAAACATGGGTTTAAAAGACCAAGTAATATTTAATAGTGCCTTCAAAAATGGTTCAGTATACTTAGCTTGTTTATTTTTTTCAGCTGCTGGCTCTTCAATGGGTGAATGAAAATATTGAATATTTTAAGGGAAACAAAAGTAGTATTACGTTAATTGGAGAATCTGCCGGAGCAGCAAGTGTTCATTATTTGATGATGAGTAATTTAACTAAAGGCTTGTACCATAGGGCTATTTTACAAAGTGGAAGTGCACTTAGCCCATGGGCTATTCAATTCGTACCAGAACAAGTAAATATTTAATATACATTAATCATAAATAATTAACAAAATAATACGTAACTAAATATTTTAGAGATTTGAAGCATTAAAAAAATACTTAAACATTTCGGACGTGAATGATCTTCGAAACGAAAAGAAAACTTCTTCAGCTGCAATTATTGACGCGGCTCTGAATAAGGTACCCACACCTGAAGATCTCAAATCTGACAACAATCTTGTTTTCAATCCTGTAGTTGAACATGAAAACTCAACAAACCCTATAGTACGGAAAAATTTAGTAAAACGCATGTACGAAGGTGAATTTCCTGATGTGAACATAATATATGGATTCAATGATGCTGAAGGACTTTTGGGAATGCTTATGGTAAATGAAACAAACGACAGGGTGATTTATAAAATGAGGGAAGTTTTGGTCAAGTAATACCTTTTCTTTTTTGCAATAATAAAACCATGAATACAGTGGTAAATAATACTATAAAAGATTTGTATGAATATTATAACTTGACTTATGCATATGAAAAAAATTACGAAGCCTACATTCAACTTATGGGTGATGCCTGGATTCTTCATGGGATGCATCGCACATTAATGGCTATTCACGGAATTAACAGAAATTCAAAAACTTACTTTTATAGACTTTCGAATGATAGCTATAGCATATTTAAGAAATTTGTGTTTACTGAGCAAATATAAAAAAGAACTTCCTGGAGTTTGTCATACTGATGATCTTGGATACTTATTTTCGATGTCGAAAGAGTGGAGTAATTTGTATTTCACCGTGAGGGGATATGCAACAATTCCAGAGAAAGCAGTAGAAACTCACAAAAAGATGGTTACTTTATGGACTAACTTTGCAAAAACTGGGTGAGTATTAAAAATTTCTTTGAGGTCGGTCGGCGCAAAAATGTGAGTTTTTTAATTTTGAAATATTTTTAATGCATTTCAGAAATCCTCTTAATACTACTACCCCTGATCATCCGACCTATGGAAGTGTGTCAACTATTAATTGGGAACCATATAATAATATAACAAAGAAATATCTGAACATGAATGATACATTTGAAATGTTAGCATATCAAGAAATGGACCGTATGCTATATTGGGATGCAGTATATAAAGCATATAAAGACCAAGAGAAAAACGAAAAAGAAAAAAAAGAAGAAGAAAGAAGCAAAAATAAAGAAAAAAATATGAAGATTTAAGAAAAAAGCGAAGAAAAAGGAGCAGAAAAAAAAAGTAAAAGAAAAAGAAGAAAAAAAAGAAAAGAAAGAAAATAAAAAGAAATAAAATGAAAACAATCTTCAACACTTTAAACAAATATTCGAGATTTATGTTTTAAATAGGTTCTGAATAAGTGAATTGCAATTATGTAAACAACTGAATTTGTAAGAACGTGGATATACCTTTGGGCATGATATATTAGCCAAAAATGTTACCAAGTATTTAATTTATTACTTCTGGCTAACAATTTGCATTAGATCTAAATCAAATAATTTGTAAAAATAATCGTAATTTTGTGTACAATTTTCCAACAAATTATAGCTCATTACAATTCTAAATTAAGTAAAAAAATCTCAAGTTTGACCGATATTGACGCATGCTGCAAAACTCATTCTCTATATACATTTAAAACTCTTTTTCAGATATAACTATATCATATAACAAATCTTTCCTCAGAACTATAAAGTAAAAGATCATAAAATTATATTCAGTATATCGAGATATGTTTGCAAATTTACCAAAATTATTTTACTACTGTTTGAAATATTATCAATTGTATAGTTCGAAATATTAAAAAATCTATAGCATCTCACAGAGAATTTGATAAATTCACCTATTTGTGCCATTTCCAGAAAATTTTTGAAAATTCTGTTAAAATTAAAAAAATGTGATATTATTCTCCATAATATCTAACACGATATAATTCACAAAATATTCTGTTATTGCAAAAAGGAACTAAATGTGAAACGGAAATATAATTTCGCAATTAAATTCGCCTGATATTTTATTTATGAGTATTAAATACCATGAAAAGTATGTACGAGCATGAAAACTCAATTTTTTTGTATAAAAATTAAAAAAAAAGTTAAGAAAACTTCTTATACAATATTTTACAATTAATATGGAAGATCTCCTGACATTAGTGACAATATGTTTCTCTTTTGCAGAATTTATGAGTTTTTAAAATTCAAAAAAAAAAGATCAAGGCTTCAAACTGCAAATTTTTGAAGTTTGAAGCAGTTAAAACCACAGATTGATAATATTGTGATATGGAATTTACGCAATTGTAAAAATAATGAAATCTAGATAGATAAACAAATCTCAAGTGAAAATTAAACAAGTATTTATTAAATTAGTTTAACGAATGCAATAGTTTTTTGAACAAATATATTTTTTTTATTTTGCAATAGTTCTAATAAATTATAAAATTAAATTGATATAACTATATGCATTTCATTACACGTGGAATATATGTGCAGTTATGATCGTATGCTATACAATATTGTTATTCAAACAAAGATTTGAGTTTTAACTAAAGTCCTTAACAAAAAAAAATTGTAACTTTTATTAAGCCTTTTCAAGTTGTTTTTCATGAAAGAATATTACTTAAGTCGAACAAAACCTTTCATTGAGAAAACATTTCAAGAAATATTATCAGTATAAAAGAACATATTTTTTTAATTCTTATTCATCATTTTGTCAATCAAGACTTATAAAGAGTCTTATAATACAAAATATGTTTGCTTAGGTAGTATAAAGAACAATCAAATAGAGTATAAAATATACATAATAAGTAACAAAAATTAAAAAACTAAAGTAAATAATAAAATGAAGTAAGAAATAAAAATATAAAAGCACATATAATAACACAGTTCATTCTGCCAAAACCAAAACCCTGTACAAAACATTTACAAAATGCATCTGATACTTCTATATTGTATAAATTACAGTCAAAAACATCTGGTACTTGTTTTTCAAAAAAATCAATATGACGGTGATCATTTTGCGCAATTTATTACCACGTAAAATAATAAGTAAATACAAATATTGTGCAATATATAATGTCTAAACTGCATTTTTCATGAATAACTGACTACTTGAAATGTAGAACTAAGATACGTAATATAGTCATGGAACTGTACCAAGTTTTACTACTATGTTCAATATTGTATTCAGTTGAGGGCTTAATGGGCCTTGAATATAAAGGACAAGGTTGGAATGATTATAAATGTAATGTAGCTGTTCGGCATAGGGTTATTGAAGGAAAATATAGAACATATGTTCATGATCATGGTCACCATTATTGTGCCTATATGGGCATACCATATGCGAAACCGCCTACTGGACATCGCAGATTTTTGGTAATATAATTTGATATACGATTATAAATTAATAAATATTTTACGAAAAAAGTACGTAAATTGCATTTTCAGGCTCCTCAAGAATAAAAGATAGACTCAAAAGACATTACAAGCATTTAGGAAGTATGTGTATGCAAAAAAGTAATGGAGTTATAGAAGGTAATTAAGTATTATTTAGATATTTATATTTTTTATGCATATTAAAATCTGAAAAAAAAAACTCATACAACCAGAAATATCGTGGAATATTCTTAAATAGCAAGATGACAAAAAATGAAAAGGTTGAAAAGCAGGATCAATATTGGACACAAATTACTAATTGTTACAGAACTATTCATATGTAGTCTTTTTTCATACTACTTTCATATTCCAAAATTTGTTAATGATTGATCATTTGGCAATAAAGTTACTAAACTCTGTTCCAGTAAAACCAGCATAAAAATAATTTTGCAAATATTTTTCTAAAATAAAATAAAATATTTGGTATAGAATATAAATATTGTAATCTATCAACTACACAGTTAATTTTGTAGCATGTGTTTTATGAGAATTTTGTCATTTATTTTTTAGGAAGTGAAGATTGTCTATTTCTAAACGTCTATACTCCATTCCATTTAAAGAAAAAACAGAAGCAATGCAGAAAAAAGTATCCTGTAATGTTTTGGATTCATGGAGGATCTTTCAATACTGGATCAGGGGATTATAATTTATATGGACCAGATTACTTGGTTAGACAAGGAGTCATATTAGTCACCTTCAACTATAGATTGGGAGTTCTTGGATTTTTATCAATCCTGATTGGGGCATCAAGGGAAATATGGGCTTGCAAGATCAGGTAACTTTTTCAAATAATTTTTGTACTGATCTGCTAAATATAAAGATTTTGTGCGGCTCGTCGCATTAGGCAATAATTATCAACGAAAGTCCTTTACCTGTTTTATCTAATTGATTTTAAATTTTGGCTTACATAACATTATACATACATAAACGTTTTTCAATTTTGGTGTGAGACATATTAATCATGAAAATTTATTGTGGTACTGTGGTATAGATAATGGCACTAAAATGGGTGAATGAAAACATTGAAGCTTTCGGAGGAGATAAAAACAGAATCACCATCTTTGGAGAATCTGCAGGTGCGGCTAGTGTTCACTATTTGATGATGGACAATTCAACTGAAAAACTGTATCAAAGAGCTATTTTGCAAAGTGGAAGCCTTCTCAATCCATGGGCAAGGCAGTTCAACACAACCCAGGTATGTAAAATGTGAAACCTACATTAACCCTTACCCTCCGTCGGCGTGGTCTGGCCAGACTTTTTTCGACTTCAATTAAAAAAAAAAAAATACTTCTAGTAATCCTATCGACTTGAAATTTCTTGACTTTTCCTAAAATTTCATTAGCTGTCGATCAATAAATAAATCAGAACAAAAAAAATTACAGAAGGATAATTATAAGGATATTAACTTTTTTATACTTCGAACGGTCGGAAAGGTCTGTCTAGACCACCCATACATTTTGTATGAAATATACGCTTTTTGATATATGTAAACCAGTATTTCGTCTATTTTCATGGTATTTTCTATTCAAACTGCGTTGTTTATATTCTTTGCTATGTGTTCTAACATGAATGTTAGTATTTTCATGACGAGAGTTCTTTGAAAACCTACCAAACTTATTGGTAATCGCAAACACTGAAAATCGGATGAGTAATGCACACATTCATTTCAAAGGCGCCGAAAAAGAATAAATATTGTTTTTCATTTATTTAAAACAGAAAAATTAACAAAAAAAGCAACGATTTTTTCACATTTCTTGATTTTTTTTATATAATCGTTAATACATAAGACACCGAAAACTCATTTATCCCATATAAATGTATGTAAAATGAATGGTGGTCCAGCCAGACCTTCCGACCGTTTGAAGGAGCAAAAATATCCGACCGACGGAGGGTTAAATTATAGTATCCATGTGCCAGCATTATTTTTCAACAATCCTTGATTAGAACAATAATCAGAGATATATTTCGTTAAGTTCTTTACTTCAATTTTTATCTTCGACATTATGTCAAAGGGTGCAATGATTTATTATCATATTTTAAATAACATTTAGCACTTGTTATTATTTTTATAAAAAAAAACAAAACCATTACAATAGACTTATGAACTATGAAATCCGTAAAATTGAAAAAATATATGATAGAAAAAATATGATTATGATTTCAGAGATTCAGAGACCTGCAAAACCTAACCAATCTCAGTAAAGACAATAAAAACACCATTGAAGCTAAAAAATTAGTGACGGCTGCTGTGGACAAAGTTCCAAATGAAGTAGATAATATACATGGCACCAACCCTGTATTTAATCCCATATTCCAAACATATATGACATGGGAAAAACGTGAAGATTCAATTCGAGATTTTGTCAAAGACATGTGGTTGGGTAAATTTCCCGATAAAGATACAATGTGGGGCTTCAATGATCGCGAAGGTCTTATTGCTTTGGACAGAGTAAATAAAATAAGTAATGAAATACAAGCGACGTTACAAAATATTCGTTATCTTATCCCATTACTTCTTTATAAAACTTTTAATGAAACTTGGATGAATGAGACTGTTACAAATTTATCTGACTTTTATAACAAAGTGTCTACAAATGTAAGTGAAACCGAAGCCTATATTCAATTTATGGGAGACTCATGGTTCCTTCACGGTCTTTACTACTCGATGAGAGCAATTCATTATAATAAAGAAAGAACATCAAAAACGTATTTTTACAGATTATCGGATGATTCATATAGCATCTTTAAAAATTTTATATCTAAAAGTTGCATGAAATTATCAGGCGTAAGTCACACTGATGATTTAGGTTATTTATTCGCAATGTCACAAGAATATAACATAGGCTGGTATACATTGAGAATTTATTCTGAAATTCCAAAAGAAGCTCAAGAGACTCATAAGAAGATGATTACGTTGTGGACGAACTTTGCTAAAACTGGGTAAGTTTAAGCTGCTAGGTTTACTTCAACCAAAATTATTGCCTATATTAGAAGAATCATTTGGAAGCCAAAAAAAAAAGTCAATGAATAGATATATATTTTGTCAATTCATTATTAAAGAAACTGCATCATAACAGGTACAGGCTATTTTGGTTCATATAATATGTTTAAATCTATTTCATGATATTTTGTAAAAGTTAGTTTATTTACATAATATGAAGGTGTTGCGTATCGAATAGTTTTATATTTAGTTTAGTTAAATCGTATTAGTAAATCGTATTTCTAAATTCATGTAAGTTATATCAATTATTTCAGTGATCCATTGAAATCTTGGATCTCAGAGAAAAAACGTCCAAAACCACCTTATGGTGACATAAGTGAAATTACATGGAATCCGTTCAATATAAAGGACCCTAAATACCTAGATATGGCCAACGAAGGTTTTAACATGAAAAAATTCGAGGAGCAACAGCGAATGGAACCTTGGAATGAACTTCATGCGGAGTATCATAGATACATACTAGATTTAGAAGAAAAACGCAAGTTAAAAGAAAAAAAATAAACAATTCAATACTTCACACAACTTATCTATGTTGTATTGACTCAAATAAACTATCATAATAAATGTATAATTAGCAAACGCTTTAAAAATAGTCAATGTCATTCCATAATTAAAGCAAAAAAGTTTTACCTCATATCTGATCATTAACAAACTAAAATGAAAAAGGATAGCCATTCGGTTGGCTATTAATAAAGCCTTGTAGCAAAAAATACATCACAACAGCTTATTAAACGTTGACAATAGTTTTAATCCATCTAAGTAAAAAAAACAAACATTTAATATACCTATTGAGTTAAATAATCCGGTTTATGAAAAAAATATAAAAAATTGCCATTACCGATAATTTCATTATGAAATTAATATTTTTCTAATTTAATATTTATCTTAAAATCATTTTTACATGCTTCATCCTGCATCAGAACAAGGTTATGATATCTAAATTCATTATATTGATTTGAAGGTCAATTTTCCGATAAAATAGAAATGTTGTGACAATGCTATTTTGCGGGCCTATAATCGTATTAGTTGGTAGTAACGAAATATCAAAAAGCTATGTATTTGCTGTGCAATCAGGCGTTTGACACATAAAACCCAACTTCACGTATGTACGAAAGTAAAAAGTAATCTAAATATAAAAATCTATTGGATTGGTATAAATGCAAGTAATAATTTCTCTTATATAATGTAAAAAACTAACAAATTGAAGAAGTAGTTAATAGGACAAACAAGAGTTTTATTCGGCTCTGGGGATGGTGTAAAAAGATGTGGATACAAAACCACACAATTTGCGCCAACTTTGCCTTCAATCTAGAACCAACATATAATTTCAGAAATCTTATTATCAGGCGCAAATAATAATAATCTTGACCTTGGTCTCATGTGAAATTCACGGGGGAATCCGCACACTTTCTAATAGCGAATAGGAAATGTTTGAAGCGGCACACTTCAACGAGAACGTTGATACGATAGACATGTCGTCTTCAAAACGTCTATTTTATCATAAACAAAACGAGATAAATAATAACAATTAAGCAACCAAAATGCATTAAAAAACACAATAAAAAATGTTACCTCACAGTAGTGCATTAGTTTTATTTTTATTTTTTTTATTTTTCTTATTTACACCTATCTTGTGCATACTATGGGATAACCTAGATCAGCATTTGTGCAGAGTTCAATTTAACGGGATCACGGAAGGAAAACCGTTCCGATATAAAGATCATAGGAATGATGTATATTGTTCTTATTTGGGAATTCCTTATGCCGAACCGCCTATTGGACCATTACGATTTCAGGTAAGAAAATAATAATAATGATTGTTATTTGAAGTAAATAGTATATGAAATTGACTGTGAAATTCATGGTTCATCAACCTTTCATAACTGTCGAATGAAAATTATCATTCTTGTAACGGATCGTTAGACAGGCTGAGTAATAATATATCATTTGCAATAATATAGTCATTAGTAATAGAAATATTTTTTTTGATAAATATTTATTAAATTTTCCGGATCAGAAACTCAGGAAGATCAGGATAGCAGATCTAGGTATTTAAATTTCCTATGATTACCTCGACCAATTTCTTCAATTTTTTTTTATTATATAGTAATTTTTACACCTGTCCTGAAATGGACATCAAGTAAAAATGTAGGGAAAAATTCACTTTCAAAATACAATCTCTTTAAAAAATTATTCCTTTAGAAAAATGGATTAAATTTAGATTTGATTTAGTTTTTTAGATTAAATACAATCAAATCGTTTGTATTTCTTCAATAATTTTTAACTAAATTTTTGATTAAAATTCGTTTCTACAAACTTGTAATTATTCATATCGATGATTTCTCATTATGAATATGATGGTTAATTAATAGATGTTTTCTAATCTACATTTTTGAATTTATTAATTCAATAATTCCAACGCTTGAATTTATCTAATTCATATAATGCCTTCAAATAAAATTTCAACTCTTGTAATAAAAATAGACGAAAATTTTAGTTTTACATTTATCAAATGTAGAGATCTATTATATATTAAATAGTGATGAATTAAAGGAAGGTTATATGATTTTTGCCGCTCGAATTGTCACAAGTATTTCTTTCATAAGTAGAAGTCGCAATCGAAATTAATTATGTTTAATGTGATAATCAGGCTGTAAACAAAATCACAACATATTATAAAGTATTGTAAAATTTATATTGATATTAAACTGAATTTATAAAATTGAAATGACACGTTAATCGCCATGTCAGTCATATGTGTCTGACGCTAAAAAGTACTACATGAGAAAAAAAAATTTAGTATAGGGCCATGACAGTCATATGTGCGAGATAAAAATAGTGTGTTTACAAGAATTTTGGCAAAAAATTTTTTTGTTTGATGATACATTTTTAACTAAGTCTTCTAATAAACTCGCCACGGCCCATGTTATTTTTTTCTGATATTATCGTGGCGATCAACGTGTTAATTACATAAATTGCTTTAATTAAGGTTGATTTCGTTGATAAATGAATAAAACATCACTAATTATTTAACTTCTCAAAACCTTAACTTAATTATTTAACAAAACAGAGTTCAAAAAAGAAAAAAATCATATAACTTTAAACATATTAGCGTTTTAGAAGAAACAATTAATTTGTAGATGATGATGATATGTTACTTAGTTGAAGTTTGAATTATTACTTGTTACTTAGCAGAATTTTAAATTAATACATGATGTTTGTTAGAAAAAAAAGATATTACTCTTTTGAGTGTTGATTTAAGACTAATACAAAGATTTTATAATTTTATATTATTTTTCTGGTTGGCCCATTTGTGGAATTAAGCGACATCCCATTACAATAAAATAAATCCAATTAAAATAAAATTACTATTTTTTGTTCAAAATCAGAGTAATTACACATCTCTATAAGTTCTAAAATTGAATTAAACATAAAAAGAAATTAAACAAAGAATTGGTGAGAATTACTCAAATGAGCAATTGAGCCAAGAAAACAATTTTTTCATAAGAAGTCTATAAATCTCATTTATTTTATTTGGTTGAATCTCATTTTAGACAGAATATTAACCACATGGGCCATTTTCAGGTAAATTGTCAGCAAGTTTATGCATAATGATTAAAAACTTTAAGGCATATACTACAAGTAGGATGTTGAGGTCATGGTGTGTGATTTTTCCAAAAAAAAAGTATGATTCAGTAATAGTCCACAAAATTCTGAATTGTATGCGTTCGATTTCTTATAAAATATTCCTTAAATAAAATTTTTAAAATTTTATATATTAAATACTTATTGTTTTTCATTAAGGCAGATTGTAATTTGTAATGCTGTATTGAAAATCTATTATATCAGAGTATATTTATATGTAATATTTTGCATCTGCCCTTATATCCTTTGAACTTCAGATAAAGATATCTCGAAGTCAAACAATTACTATATTTGAATTATTCGAACTCATACTAAACATTGAGATGAATTGTCATCTACATTTAAATAATTTTCTATATAAATTTGAATTTAAATTGGAATTTCATGTAAGGAACTTATCTAATGAACATAGGAGTCAATGACTGTATTTTACCATCTGAAAAATTAATTCTATATCTAAATCTTTGAATTTATATTTAATATAAGGAACTTATCGACTAATCTGAAATTCTACTTCTTTGCACCAGCCGACAAAAATTAACTTTTTTGTCACAACATGAACGGAAATTATTTTAACATTAAAAATTTTTCCATCACATATCTGACCATTAATTATTATTTATAGAAGCCGTTGAACCAAAGATTTTTTTTTTAATTTCTTACTTATAAATTTGGTGATTATAAGTTTCCGTATATTTTTATTCGTACACGTGGAAAATAATTGGATACATCTATATTATTCATAGATATATCAAAAAAGTATCAGTAATAATTTATATAAAATTGATCTTTTCGGATAAACCAATTATAAATATTTTACTTTAAGAACAATAGATTTTTTTGGGATTTGGCTTACAATTTTGTGAATTATGAGTTTTAGTATATTTTCATACGCACACGTGAAAAATAATTTGATATATTTATATTATTCATGAATATCAATTCAGTATCAGTAATAATAATTTATACAAAATGGACATTTGGATAAACCATTAATATCATCAATATAAAATGTTTTACTATTAAGTACCATAATTTTTTTTGGATTTTTTTAACTCTGTTTTATTCAGCAATCAAAATAAGGATTCCTATAAGCTAAATTGACAATATTGAATTTATTGCAAACATATTTGTGAATTTTCGGCTTTTGTTTATTTCCATAGGCACATGTAAAAAATACAATTATTTTACATATATTTTATTCCTAAATAAATCAAATCTCTATCAATAATAATTCATATCAAGGTTGTCTCAAAAATTTTCAATGTAGTATCTTGGTTCCAGAAAACCGCAAAATTTATATTTCCGATGGTGTTTATACACAAATACTAAAATGCATGATTTATATATAATAAATTTATTAATTATGTAAAAAGTTTACGTAAGCAATATCTCAGAAATATTTGGATCAGTCTAAATCACATTGGAGTAAGTTTTGAAAAGTAAATTTGCCAATATTTTAGCAAATGTGTATTATAAAATCATAGTATATTTAAACAAATAATGTTGCTCTATGGAATATAAAATTTTCTATTTCAGTCTCCAAAACCAATATCAAATCCAAAAACAGGATTCGTACAGGCTCGAACTTTGGGAGACAAATGTTTCCAGGAAAGTCTAATATATTCTTATGCAGGTAAATAATCATAAAACTAATGTTTAAATCAAATAATAGATAGAAAAATTTTGCAATCTTGTCTTAACCAAATACACATTTTTCTTCATCAATTGTTTATTCGTTATTTTCCAAAATAATATTTATTTAAGAAAAAATTTGAAGTTCAATGTGTAACACTAAAGACGATACAAACGCAATTTTGTATTTGTCATATAAAAAACATCTTGTGTTTAGTCTGATGAATTAAATAAAATATTTACTTATTAAATTGAAAATATCCAGAAAAAATATGAATATAAACAAGTGAATTATATACTCGCACATGTTCATGAATATAATAGAAAATCAATTTTAAATAGATGCAAATTGTGATTTCTAAACATGTATGTCTAATTATGTAGATCTATTTTAATTTTGTTTAATTGCGCAATAAATTAAATTGAATAGTTCGATGTGGAATATGGTTATATTTGTTTTGAAACAAATACGTTTTCAAGATGATAATAAAAATCACTTTCGAAAATTTTAGGATAGGCAGCTAAATAATTTTCTCATTTAGGCATCCTTATAATTAAAAAGGAAAACCAAAGTTAAGTTTGAATCTGTTTTTCATACGTTTTTCAAGTTTGTTTTCCCTTCAACATCAAGAAACTTTTTTATTTTAAAGTTTATCAACATTTGAAGTTTTGGAAGTAAATTTGAAATTTGAATAAATTTTTGATAGTGCAAAAAAAAACATTTTAATAGACACCCATCCAGTCATTAAAAAATACAACTCTCATTATATTTTTATATACTATAAGTTAATTCTACTGACTTATAAATTCTATTCTAATTCTAATTTTATTCATTGCATATGACTAATCTCAACTATTATTAAAGTCTTCAAAATAGTTTTATATTTTAAATGTTCTTTGGAAGTAATTGTACAAATTATAAAAAATTATTAAGAGAGACTCAATTACATTTAACATTTAAGCTACTAAAATATCATGAATTACATATATCTTGTAAATACATTTGATACACTAGTATCTGATATATCAATTGTATTTACAAGCAATATGCAATTTCATATAATTTTATTCATCAAGTGATGTCTGGAGAATATCAAATAACGAACTTGTAATAAAACACATTAATTTATTTAATCTCTATATATGTTGTTCGTCAAAACTTTTTCGAAATGATAATACTATCATATCAAAAACATCATTGTTACCTGATCTAATCTCATTTCTAAAGATGCAATTTGATCACAAAATATACTAACAATAAGCATTTATTATCTTTTGTTTTTGTTTTTGTTTTTGAATAATAATTTTACTTGGCGTGTGTTCCAGACATGAAATTTTACACAACACGAATTAGTAATTATCAAAAACATGCATATAAAAAGATATATATATATATATATATGTATATATACACAAATATATTTGTTTTATTGTCTTATATATTATTGCTTGTAAACATATGAATATTAATTAATTACTTCTACACCCAATTATAATATCGTGCTTTATTGCGTTTGGTATTTCCTTAGTAGTTTAAAACATGTTTGGGAATTCCGTATATTTGTAAAAAATATAATAAAAAATTAATATATTGATATTAGATATTACTTACGTATTAGTTAACTTCCCGAGAAACAAAAGTACTATTTCGCCAGAAAATCCAACTTGCTAATTTAATTTTTTCGAGACATTGCACGTTAATCTTTATTGTCTAACGCAATTGATAAAAATCAGAAAATCGTAAAATTTAAGCAGCCGAATATTAAGAAATTTAAACTACTAAGAGGAAGTCCCGTAACGCCGGACGGCACCAAGCACCGGACACTCTATTTAATACGTATTATTTAAGCGAGTATAAATAAAGCGAGAGCATCGGTGTGGCCCAGCCAAAAGGGTGGATGAATACTTACTTTTTTTGCAATATCTAAGAATATTCGTTATTTCAGTTTGATTTCTACCTTTGTTATCCAATATAAATCATAATTTAATAAACATTTCGTAAAATATTTTTTGATTTATTTATAAATGACCTTAGGTGTCCGCCACTAGGGGACTTCCCCCTACTACTACTAATTTTTTATTTCAATTATTATTAAATTATTTCTTCTATTATGAATAAAATAAAACTTACAAATGCAAAAGCGTGTAAGGACAAAAGTTTGTTGAACGGAATTGAATTTATCAAAAACCAAATTACGTCACGCCAGAACCAAAATTATAATTTCTAATATAAACCATTAAAATAAATATGATTTATTACATTTTTCAGGAAGCGAAGATTGCTTATATCTGAATATATTCACGCCAGAGACTGTTAATTCTGCGAACAATACAAAATATCCTGTAATGTTCTGGATCCATGGAGGCGCATTCAACCAAGGATCAGGATCTTATAATTTTTTTTTGGACCTGATTATTTGATCAGGGAAGGAATTATTTTGGTCACTATCAACTATAGATTAGGAGTTTTCGGTTTTCTATCAGCGCCGGAATGGGATATCCATGGAAATATGGGTCTAAAAGACCAGGTAATGGTAATTGATATATAAGAAAAACAAGGATAAATCACGATTTTTTTTTGTTTTGTTAGAGATTGGCACTAAAATGGGTTTACGACAACATCGAAAAGTTTGGTGGAGACAGAGAAAAAATTACAATTGCTGGAGAATCTGCTGGAGCAGCAAGTGTCCATTTTCTGATGATGGACAACTCGACTAGAAAATACTACCAAAGGGCCATTTTGCAGAGTGGGACATTACTAAATCCGACTGCTAATCAAATTCAACTTCTGCATGTAAATATAATACATTTGAAAATAATTTGTCATTTATTATCACTGCAAAATATTTTTAAAAACAAATGGTAATTAGTATTTCGAATTCAAGCATTACTATTTTATCAATTATATCCATTATCCAACATTATATGAATTTACTTATTTAAATATTGGAATTACTTCAAAATATTTTTAAAAACAAGTGGTAATTAGTATTTAAAATTCAAGCTTATATTTTATCAATTGTTGTTTCTAATATCGACAATTTATAAAAGATTGGCTTATTTAAATATTGGAAGTGTTTACGTCTTTTTAAATGAAGTCATAAATTTATCATTTATTATTACTTCAAAACATTTTTAACAACAAGTGGTAATTAGTATTTAAAAATCAAACTAAATTATTTTTATCAATTAGTAAATCTAGTATCCAAAATTTAGTCTTTTTTAAATATTGTAAGTGTTTACGTCTTTTAGGTCACGCAAAATAAAAAATATATATTTTGACCTTGTTAACTAAAAAAAGCCATAATTAAAGTAAGTCGTTAAATTTGTTTGGAAGTATTAAATACTTTTAGACAAATTAGAATAACTTGATCAAATAATTAAATTTGATAACATTATTACTACTTTAATAGGTACATACAAAAATGTTTTTTTTATCTACATTTAAATTTGAATAATGTTTCAACTTCATTTAATAATTATTACCTTGACATTGTATTCATGTTTTTTCCACTCTATATAATTATTATTATCTTTCTTGCAGAGATTTGAAAAACTCAAACAAGTGCTAAACATCACGCAAAAACAAGAACTCCTAAACCTGGATAAAAACCTAATTTACGAGCAGCCTTAAACAGAGTTCCTGATAGCAACGACCATGACCGAGACACAGTACCAGTATTTAATCCAGTCTTAGAATCACCAGAATCTCCAGATCCAATAACATTTCCATCTGCCTTGGAAAGAATGAGAAATGGTGAATTTCCTGATGTCGATGTCATCATTGGTTTCAATAGTGCTGAAGGTTTAAGATCTATGGCAAGAGTAACCAGAGGAAACATGGAAGTTCACAAGACTTTGACAAATATAGAAAGGGCTATACCTAGAGATGCTAATATTTGGAAAAATCCAAATGGTATTGAGGAGAAAAAACTAATAAAAATGCTTACAGAGTTTTATGACCAAGTGAAAGAACAAAACGATGACATTGAAGCCTACGTCCAACTAAAAGGCGATGCTGGTTACCTCCAAGGAATCTACCGTACCTTGAAAGCCATATTTTTCAATGAATTCAGAAGGAATTCCAATTTGTATTTGTACAGGTTATCAGACGATACGTATAGTGTATATAAAAGTTATATCTTGCCCTATCGATGGGGTTCCTTGCCAGGAGTTAGTCATGGTGATGATTTAGGATATCTATTTGCAAATTCGTTGGATGTTCCTATTTTGGGAACGACGCACATTTCTATACCGCAAGATGCTATGCAGACTCTGGAAAGGATGGTCAGGATATGGACCAATTTTGTGAAGAATGGGTAAGTGAAATATATATAGTAGTAAGAGTAATTTTATATTATCGACCACATATCAAATGCTTCAACAACTTAGGAGCCAATTCTCCAATAAAATAGAAATGTTGTGATGACGGGTCGTATGAATTGGTAGTAACAAACTGTCATAAAAATTATATTTACTGTGCGATCAGGAGTTCCACACATAAAACCTAGCCTACAATCGTTAATTTTATCATAGCTGCATCTTTCTGATGTTTCATTCATAACACATACGTGAAGTTAGGTTTTAAGTGTAAAACGCCTGACGACACAAAAAATTCATAGCTTTTAGACACTTTGTTACTACCAATTCATACGAATGTAGACCAGTACCATAGGGTTGCTATAACTTTTCAATTTTATCGGAGAATTTGCCCCTTAGTCATTGATGGTAAATTTTAAAACAATACAAGCACAAGCTATAACCCGGTCAATTTAGACCTAAAATCAAGGTGATGGTAACAATAATTCATTATGGACTGCAACTTTTATATTATTATAAAAGGAATCCCAAAAGTCCTCATCGTTCCAGTGCGAGGTAAAAAATTGGCCCAAGGTCAAAGATAAAAAAAATGTATTTTTCACGATTTTCAACTAAATGGTCAGTTTTATCGCAAAATTACCTTCAGACAAAATTGTAGAGCATAAAATTATATAAAAAACGCATCAATACTTTTTTTTCTCAGAGCCACCGTTTTAAAGATATGTCACTTGGAAAAGATGAAAACTTTTGAGATTTTCTGTTGAGAATTGACTGGAGAAATTGACTACTATTGCAATATAAGTTTTTTACATCGAATACAATTTCGAGAATAAATACGTACAATTTACTATTTTCATTAATTTAGCATGTTTTTCGAAAATGATCTACCATATGTTATTTTAAGAAAAGTTTCCAAATTATTTTAGAACATTTTGAAAAATTTCCTATTTTTCTTAAAAATAAATATGTTTAAAAACGTCGTTTTCATTAGCAACATAAAATATATTCGGTATTGTGAAACTAGTTTTTTTTAACAGTTTACTCGTATATTATGTTTTTGACAATAGAATGTCTTATTTACTTAAAGAAATCTTATAATTTACACATTTATGTTAATGTTGACTCAGTGCCAAATTTAGTATTCACTGGCTCAAACAAGATATTTAAATATCAACATTATGAGTAGTTAAAAAAAATTCAAAATAATGTTTAACAAGACAAACAAGCCATTAAGACTAGAGTTATTTTTTAAGCAAAATAGAAAAAAATAAAATAATTACCAACAACAGTAGTTAATTCATCTAACTTTTTATTTACTTATTTCATTTGTGTTACTAACACAGAAAGGTTATTGTTTAGAAAAAATCATTTGTTTAAATATTAACATATTGTTAATATTTATTAACTTCCTGTAGGATAAGTCATCGTCGAAAAATCGAAATTGAAGATTTTCAACCATAAAATTCATTATTATTGGTTATAGATTTCTAATAAATCGATAAATATAACGCTAGTTATTCAAATATAAAATTTTATTATATTTTTATGCTATTTCTTCCAAATTCATTAATTTTCAAATATAGAGATATATAAAATCAAATATTTTAAAAAAAGATTATATAACATTTAAAAAAATGACAATGAAATGATTTGCTGGAATGCAATCCAAAAACATAAAACGAGATACTAGATTTTTTTATTATCGATTATATTTTCAAAAATTAATTATTGGTCAGATAATTGTGTATTTTTGAAGCCTTTATTTTTATTCCCTACAAATTATGTAGAAGTGCAAATAATAATAGTATAAAGGGCCAAAAATTTATTATTACTGTTAATTGTTAAATTATTAAATTACATTACATTTTTCTTGCAAGATCGATTTAATTTCACTTCTTTTCAGATTATCACTTTTAACATTCAAAACCAATTGAAATGATCAAAATAATAATATATTGGCATGTAATAAAAAAATATATACAAATACGCAATATTTATTATTGTAAAATATATTTTCATTATTTATATTTATTGATCTCAAGATTAATGACAATGAAATAATTTGCTGCAATCAGATGCGTTTGTAATTTAAAGCCTTCATTTTTATTCCCAAAGTTTTACTTGTCATCTTTACCAGTTAGTTGTAAAAATTATTGTCTAATAAAAAACAAATTCAAGAATTATTTTACAAATAAAAAATTACAACTATTTAATTTTTTTTTAGAAAACCTACATCAAACACTGAAGATGCATCATGCGATACAAAAAGACATTTAAATGACATTTTTTGGGAACCATACAAGGACGAAGAACCGAAATATTTGGACATGGGAAAAGAAAATTTTGAAATGAAAAATATTTTGGAACTAAAACGCATGATGCTTTGGGATGAAGTTTATAGAAATGAGAATTTAAGATTCAGAGTCTGTAATGAAGAAAGTATTAGATGAGTATTTTTAATTTATATATAGCCGAGGGAAAAAATGACTAAATTTGGTCATCTTTAAGAATAGCTCAAATTTTAATTAATGGAAAAGTAATAAATTACATGTAGAATATCAGAAAAATTTTCACATGGTCTATGGTAACTTTATTAGATAATTTAGTTAAAAATGTATCAAAGAAACTAAATGCATCAAAGAAAATATTTTTTGCCAAAATTCATGGAAAAATACTATTTTTATTTCACACATGATCTGATGATGATCCATTATTAAAGTTTTTTCTTCTACCAAATCGCCAAACTTCTTAGCATCAGACACATATGATTGACATGACAATTAATGTGTTAAACATCCATTTTGCTCGGCTATATATAAAAACTTATCGTCTCGTTGTGCTAAACATTTTTTTATGTCGATTTCACTAATAAGATATTATATTTTAGATTAAATTAAAATGGTATATTTCCAATTAACTAATTTTAGTTTTAAATGTACTATATTTACCAGTACTATGAAACTATTTTAAATATATTTTTTATTACCATATTTGTTCTCAAAAATGTTTAGTATAACAAGACCATTAATTTAAGGTAAATATTGTAAAATAAACTATTTTTTTTTATCTATTACAACCGCTTAATTGGTGCAAAGAAAAATTTTACTGTGATAATATTTGACATTTATACAATATTACAAATTGTAAACTCACAATTATGTGAATATTGTTTTTTGTTAAAAAAAAGCATACATGACTTTTCTATATCATTTTATATTACAGTGATATGGATTAATGTCAACATGTAAAATACAAATGCGGTTGTTAAAAATAATCTGTATTAAAATTGTTATATAAAATCTGAATAAATGTACTTTTAAGTAAATAATTAATTTTATTAATTTCCTCATCTAATAATCGCATAAAAATGAAAATGACAATTTTTGCATTTCTTTACGTTTCAAAGGTTTCTGAACAATTTGGCATACCTTAGAACAGTGGTCGGGGAACTTTTGGAACCGTTACCCCAAAATGTTTTTGTGCAACTTCTCATTACCCCACAAAAAATTAACTAAAAGAGCCTATAATTGGAATCTGTTTGCAACATATTTCTGTATAACCTGCCATAACATTGTTTGTTACTTCTAAACTACGAAAAAGGCTTAAATAAATGGTTTGAAGGAAACAATAAGTAAAAACTATATTCATTATGAATAAATATATTTTTTATGAAAATCCTACTAATCCGCACCGTGACGAAATTTTCGAAGAATTTTAAATGTTTCCAATTAGATTATTCTAAATACTGTAACACTGTATAATATTCATATGATATATATAAGCTGAATTACAAAATTTAAAAAAATTATTTATTCGAAGAATATAAGTGAGCTTTAGAACTTTAGCCAGAATTAAAATTAAAATCTGAATTATTTTCGATATACAAAGAAAAATTTTTTGAAAAAAAAATTGAAATATTTTTCTTTCCCAAAAGTAATTGTTTTGTCAACACAAACAGCAAGTTTTTTTAACCATTCAAATCGGATGCTTAATTCTCTCAAAAACCATTTTTGTACATTTAGCTCTGTATCTTCGAAATGGCTGGACATGCCTTTGCCAAAACCTAATCACTACTTCTCCCAATCATTACAAATCGAATGTTTTTTAGATCATTCATATGGAATACTCCGTTCTCTTAAAAATTCGATTTCTATTTTCTGCACTCTTTACTCCGTATCTCCGTAACGGCTGGACCTGCCTTTGCCAAATACTAGTCAGCATATCTCCTTATCCATAGGAACCGAATGTTGAATGAACCATTCAAATCGGTAAATCCGTGCGCTCGAAAAAGTGAACGAAAAAATGCGGACACACAAAACACACAAAAACACACATCCATTGTTTCTTAGGTATGGCGTTGCAAATTGGCGTTGCACAATTTCTTCAAAATTTCATGTCTGCTAAATATGCGAGATATGCAACTCGGGAAGAGTTTTTAAAATTTTCAGCAAGAATATTTTTTTGAGAAACCATAGAGATTTCAGCTTCATTTTTAAGAGTCCATACTCAATTTAAAATATTTCCGTGATAGAGCCACCTTGCTTCTGTATAATAAAGAAGGTAAGTCTCAGCTTCACCATCCTGACATAATTCACAAAATAGCCGCGTATTTAGTGCATGTCCCTTGATAAAATTTATAATCTTGATAACATGATGAGTGTGGGTTATTTTCCCTTACAAAAGCTGAAAAACCATAAATATGACCCATCATAGATGGAGCTTAATCCAAAGACACCAAACTGCAATTTCCCCATTTTAATCTTTGCGCTTTGAAGTATTCGTTTAATTTATTATAAATATCAATTTCACGACATCTGAACTCGAGAAGAAAACAAAACAGCAATTTATTTTCAAAATTATCTGCACCTTTATAGCAAACATATACCAGTTGTGAATTACTACTGAAATCCGTTTGAATAGCAAAATATTTAGTTTGTTTTAATGCAAAAACTTCACATTTTTGCTAATGCAGAGATTCATTTTGGTAGTAGGTTTTACTGAAGCTGATTTAAACCAAGCAAGATATTTAACTTGTTTTAGTGCGAAAAACTACTTATTCCTTCACATTTTCTGCTAATGCAGAAATTCTTTCCGATAGTAGGTTTACTGAAGCTGATTTAGTGCTTTGCAAATATATACTTTTTACCCCCAAAATTTCACTTTTACCCCATTTGGGGTAATTTACCCCGGTTCCCCGACCACTGCCTTAGAAAAACTGTATGAATGTGTGTGTGTATGTTTGGATACAAATTTCGTCGACAATTTCGGGAACACGGTTCAACCGATTCGAATGATTCAAAAACAAATTGGAGAGGAGATATGTTGATTAGTTTTTGTCAAACGCAGGCCCAGCCGTTTCGAAGATACGGTGCAAAATGCGCCAAAAATGGTAATTCAATTTTAGAGATAACGGAGCGTCCGATTTCAATAATTCTAAAGACATTTTACTTGTATTGACAAATGAACAACTGATTAAATTTTTGGGAAGGCATGTCCAGCGGTTATGAACACTCAATAAAAATAAGTTAAAAAAAATGTCATTTGGCGGTCAAAAATGATCATTAGACATATGCATATCAAATTATCAGATAATTATAAAGATTTTAATAATAAGTATGAATTTTGTTTACATTTCTATGGGTTCTGTACCAATGTTTATCCGTTAGACTGCGATGCGGCGCTTACGCGCTTCGATATTTCTTCTCTAAAACAGCCACGCAGCACGATTGCTTTGAAAAAAGTTCAAAATTTTCAGAAAAATTCAAAGTATAAATAAAAGATCGAAATATAAAAAAAAATCAAATTTTTCGAAAAAGTCAAATTTTTTCAAAAATTTCAAAATTCTCAAAAATCCTATTTTTCCAAAGTTTTCAGAAAATTATAAAAATTTTTTAAATTTTCGGTACGGAAAGTTTCAGAAATTTCCCATAAGCACGATGCCATGCACTAATAGTTTTAACGTATTTTTTTCTAAATATCATTGTACAAAATATTATAACATTTTCAAATTGTGTGTAAATTCACATATGTAATTATTTTCTCATTACATTCATTTCATCTTACACAGTTTACTCCTATAATATTCAAGTTTTAAATTCATATAAAATATATTTATAATATTTATTAGATAAAATACCATTTTTTTTATTATTTTTTGTTTATTTATTGATATAATATTTTCATATTCTGTCAGATAGGAGTGTTGGTATGAGAGATTATGAAACAATTTTCATATTTTATATATACATAACATTTGTCTATTTCATTATACAATAATATAATATTTATTATATTTAAAATATTTTCAAATATCTGTTCAATCAAAATTTTGTTTTCGTTGTCAAAATTTTAAGTCAATATGACAATGTAAAATCAGATTTTCATCACGCGCCCTAATTTTTAATTCACCCAAATTCTCTATGAATTGTTAACTATGTTTCAAAAAATAAAAATGTAGACGCAACCAAAAAATATTCGACAAAAAATATCAAAATTCAAAATTCTTATTATTCAATCATGAAATCTACTGCAAACCCTTCAATCCTTCGACATGCCCTTGTATCCCAAAATAACGTTACTTATGCTGTCATATCCGATCATAAACAACTTTATAGAAACTTTGAAAGAAACCGCAGGTGTAAAAGATATTTCTGCTGGTACTGAAGAGGAATGTGCACGATTTGATCCTCAGACTGTTGTTTTGGATCAAGGTATTTTGAGAGGTACTTGTTTTTGCAATGAAGCTCTAGTAAATACAGAGCTTTTATGGGAATTCCGTATGCCAAGCCACCTGTTGGAGAACTAAGATTTCAGGTAAGTAATCGATACCCACGATTTCCTAATTTCTACGGGACCGGTTTACTTGAAACTTTCACAGGGTTTTCATTATAGACTTCTCTCATACCCAAATTCAGATTTTTACCATTTTGGAAAAGTAGTAATTTTTTTCAGGCAGTCTCTATATAGTTAAAATAATTTCGTAACTTGTTCATAGTACACACGAATGCAATTATTCTAGATTTTTTTTAAACTTCCCAAAAGAAAAGTTTATGTTTTCATAAAAAAATCCGAGTTTCTTTATAGACTTCTCATCACTATGAACATCACTCATACCCAAATTCAGATATTTACCGTTAAAAAAAATGAATTATATTAAAAAAAGGTTGTATTTTATTTTCAGACAGTCGCTACTTAGTGAAAACAATGCTATTAACTTGTCCATAGTACTTACAAATGCGACATTATTCTATATCAATATTATTTTTAACTTCCCGAAGGAAAAGTTTGTTTCATCAAAAAATTGGATTCGCTAATTTTATGTTTTCTCGACGTTTCTAGTCATTCTGAATCGCATAAGACCAAATTTGGAAAAAGTATATATGTGTGTGTGAACAATTTTTTTATATTAAATCGACTCTTTTTCAAAAACGACTGGACCAAATTTCGAATCAATTTTAAAAATTCAAATGCTGTTTGAAAGATATTTGTTGGGAATTATACTGATTAATTTTTGGTAAAGATCGACCGAACGTTTTCTTGTAATTACCTGTTGAAAAAAAGGCGATTTTTATGAAACATTTTTTACGATAGATATCATGGTCTTATATAACATACTGAAATATTTCGGCCTTACGGCAAGTAGTTCAATTTTAAAAATTCATTATAGTTTAAAAAATATCGTAGTTAAAATTTATGTCAAAAGTTGCTTCTGTGATGTAATCACGTCAAATATTGTCAATTAGTTAAAATGTGGAATATTAAACTACAGGACATACAAACACGCACCTGTGCAATACAATTAATATAACTACAGATAATTTAAATATGTTTGAGAAAATTCAATTGAAAATCGCCTTGTTAGGAATTAATTGAAAGCGAAAGCTTGATTTTCGAAATGAACAGTTGAAAGTTTTATCTAAATATCTAAATCCCTATTTCGATTGATTAAGTCAATTCTTACATCTATCGGGAAGTTTTTGCAACTTACCTTAAGGCAAAATGCTACTTTCAACTAGTTTTTTTTATCGAATTATTTTGTGGGCTAAAATCATGACTATGGTCACGTGTCAATTTTTTGAGACTTACCACTTTTTTGATTTTTTGACTGTTTCCATTTTTTTGAATACCCCAAAGCAAATTGCAATTGGTTTCTTTAAATATGATATCTCACAAAGTAAAGAAAAGAACTATATATACAAAATTAAGAAACTAGATCAATAATAATATGTTTCCAAGTGAAAATAGTCCTTCCCGTTGCTACAGGATTATCAAATGAATTCAGTCAATTAGTAAAACATCTGTTTCTAAAAACTAGCTAAAAAAATCTATCTTTTTCTAAGGCTTGCTACTTAATAACCTTTTAGAACATATGTTAATTATCCATGTGTCCTCAAAATTATTGAAGGACTTTTTTGGATAAAGACACATTGCAATTAATAAAAGAAATAAAAAAAAATCTTTTTCCAAAATCAGCCTCCAGAACCAGTTGAAAACCGTTCCTGTGAACAATGGGCAACTAAATTGGGAAACAATGCAGTTCAACAATGCAATAGTTTATTCCAAACATACACAGGTAAATAAAATAATTATAATAAATTTTCTTATCATGTACAAATATTTATTAATCATTCATTTTTTGCACCACTTTCCATTCTACGTTTTATTTTTTTGATTGACTTTATGAACAATTTTTTTTTACTAAAAACATGTTATTAACGTTTAAGAACGTTTACCAGATTTCTTCAGCAAAATAACATTGTATTTATGATTTAATTTTTATGAAAAGGACTTAAACTAAATCCCTTTCTAGGAGATGAAGATTGCCTCTACTTGAACGTTTACACTCCTTTGGTTACCGAAGAGAATAAGGACACAAAATATCCTGTAATGTTTTTGGATTCATGGCGGAGCTTTAATACAGGATCTGGTGATTGGGAATATTATGGTCCTGATTATCTCGTCAAACAGGACGTTATTGTAGTCACCATCAATTACCGTCTCGGAGTTTTCGGATTTCTTTGCGCACCTGAATGGGGAATTTATGGAAACATGGGCTTGAAAGATCAGGTAGGAAAAAACAACCAAATGTAATAGAAATTCGTGAAAATTTAGCGTTTTAAATTTACTGGATGATTTGGATGTAATATTATAAAAGTTTACTGGTTTATAGCGAGAAGCTCTCCGTTGGGTGAACAAAAATATCGAAAAATTCGGTGGAGACAAAGAAAATGTAACTATATTTGGAGAATCTGCAGGAGCTGCCAGTGTACATTATTTGATGATGGATAAATCGACGAATGATTTGTATCAAAAAGCTATTTTGCAAAGCGGAACAGCACTAAATCCTTGGGCAATCCAATTCGAACCCCAAAAGGTACCAGATAGTATAACTACAAATATAACTAGTTGGTATTGGTAGTTTGCCTTGGGGCAAGTTACATGAACTTCCAGATATGTGCAAGTAATCAACTTGATCAATAAAAAAAAATATGATTGATTAAAAGTGTTCGAAGTGGATTTATTATACATCATTAAAAACGAACGATCACGTTAACTTGGAGTATTTTCTAGAAGCAAATTTTCAAAATCCAATATTTTTTGGAACCAGTTTCCGTAGAACTATAATAGTTTAGTATGCTCATTAAGACCAAGTACTATCGTTATACCAAGTAAATCATCTAATTATAATTTTAACAAACGTCAAAAACACTACTAATTTTCTTAAACTTTGATGCATTTTTAAAATTAAACTACTTGTCGTAAGGCCGCAATATTTTAGTAGGTTCTGTAAGACCATGATATATATCGCTAAAAAAAGTTCCATAAAAATCGGCTTCTTAATTTTTCAACAGTTAAATACAAGAAAATGGCTCGGTAGATTTTCAATAAAACTAGTCAGTATCATTTTCAACTAATATCTTTCAAACAGTTTTTGATTTTTTCAAATCGATTCGGTATTCCGAATTACAAAAAAACGGTTTGGCAGATCATCTCTCAAAACCGACAAGTCCTCATTAAGATACATCAATGGCTTTTAAATTTTTGAAATCGGTTCAGGCGTTTTTGAGCAAACGTCGATGAAAGTTCTAATTTTGACAAACGCCAAAAAACGATATTAATTTGCACACTTTGACGAATTTTAGAATTAAACGACTTGTCGTGAGACCATAATATTTTAGTATAATCTATATGACTATGATATCTACCGTACCTCCAAAAAATCATAAAAATCGTCGAAAAATTTTTTTAACACTGTTACAAGAAAACGGTTTGGCGGATCAGAAATTCGGAATTGCGGCCTGAAACATGAACAAAAATATTTCACTTTTCTGCGATTTACAAAGAAACAGCTCGGCTAATCGTTCCACAAAATCGAATGGCATTTAAATTTTTGAAATCGGTCCAGCCGTTTTTGACACACACACACACATACATACATTTTCCAAATTTGGTCTCATTCGATTCAGAATGACTTGAAACGTCGAGAAAACATAAAATTAGCGAATCTGATTTTTTGATGAATCCATAAACTTCTCCTTCGGGAAGTTAAAACTATGCTTGTTTACTGCAAAGTTTTATTCAGGTATGATTTATTCTTCCAGAATTTGGAAAAACTTCAAGAATCCTTAAAAACCTGCTCAAAAGAAGATTTGCTAAACATCGACTCAAAAACCCTTCTTTCAGCATCCTTATCCGACGTTCCTGATAGAGAAGACATCAGACGAGCCACAGAACCAGTTTTCAAACCAGTAATAGAAGAGAAAAATGTGAAGCAATCCTGATCCTATAATAACTGAATCAGTTTTAAAACTGATGCAGGAAGAAGGATTACCAGAAAAAAGATGTAATAATTGGTTTCAACAACATGGAAGGACTTTTGCTTTGACACGAGTGGATGCTGATTGTCACGAAGTTGAAAAAACTTTAAGAGATCCTGAACGAGTTATACCACGAGATGCATTTATTTGGGAGAATCCTAGGTCAAGATCAGCCAAAATTGTGAAAGAACTGTGTGAAACTTATGTAGAACTTTTTTAACGATGATTGATCCTGATGATAGACTAGGAGCGTTATTCATCTCATGGGAGATGCCTGGTTTTAAATGGATATTATAGGACACTCAAACATGGCTTTGATTACAAAAGGAAAAGTAAATTATATTTATACATGCTGTCGGATGACAGTTACAGTATTCATAAAAAATATGCTTTAAAAAATTGGAATCATTTGCGTGGAGTGGCACATACTGATGATTTGGGTTATTTGTTCAAAATGTCACCAATTTTGTACCTGTTTTCTTGGCCTTTGAATATTCCGACTGATGAAACTGCTCAAAGGACTCACAATAGAATGGTGGTAATGTGGACGAACTTTGCTAAAACAGGGTAATATGATAAATGACATATATTTATATATTCATTTATTATTGTTCAAATTATAATTTATCTATTTTATTATTTCCAGTAATCCCATGAAATCCGAATTAGTGCAAAGATATAGAATCATCGATGCTTTAGCAGGATATACATGGGATCCTTGTGACAGTTTGGATCCAAAATATTTAGAAATTGGTAAACGAGACTTTGGAATGAGACATTTTTCAGAAATTTATCGAATGTGTATTTGGGATAGGATTTTTGAAACAGGAATAAAAAATAGTTCAATGAAATCGGCAAATAAACAAGTTGCAGAGAAGGCAATTGAAAAATATTCCAAAATGTTGCACATTCCAAGTAAATCTAAAATGTGATATTTTTGTAAAATGAATAATAATAAATCGTATCGTG